ATACTTAACTGAAAAAGATCAAAGACCACCGTCTTCAATGTGGTTTGCACCTCAGTGTAAAGAAAGTAAATTCCTCACAACTGGACCAATAAATAACATCATGATAAATGAAGAACATATTGAATTGTCACAGACTACATTCTGCTTGGATCCACAAATGACTCTCAGGCAAGCAGAAGTCAAGAAATCAAAAGACATATTGCACTAGGTAAATCTGCTGCAAAAGACCTCTTTAAAGTGTTAAAAAGCACAGATACCAGTCTGAGGACTAAGGTATATTTGACATGGTATTTTCAATTGCCTCATATGCATTTCAAAGTTGGGAAATAAATAAGGAAGACTGTAGAATTGATGCATTGAATTATGTCTTGGGGAAGAATATTAAAAGTGCCACAGACTGCCAGAAAAACAAACACATCTGTGTTGGATGAAGTGTAGCCAGACTGCTCCTTAGAAGCCAAGATGGCACAACTTTGTCTCTCATACTTCAGACATGTTATCCGGAGAAAGCAGTGCCTGGTGGGTCAGTTAAAAAGAGGAAGTCATCTACCGAGATGGATAGACACCATGGCAGCAACAACGGGCTCAAATGTAACCATTGTGAAGGTGATGCAGCTGTGTGGCATTTTGCTGAGCAATAGAGTCTCTATGAGTCAGAACCTAGTTGACAGCTCCTAGTAAGTCCTGGTGTGGCGCTGTGGGTTAACGCACTGAACTGCAAAGTCAGTTTGAACCACAAGGTCGGTGATTCAAGCTCACCAGCTGCTCCTCGGAAACCCTATCCAGGGTCACTATGGGTCAGAACCGACTCAATGGTACTTAACACAAAGACAGCAACAAAATAACCTAACAATTTAAATCAAGAATAACTATACAACTCATCCATAATTGAGTTGTTTCTAGTTGGAGGGGGACTGAATATTCTTGGTTTGTGTGACAAATTTTTTAAAGGAAAAAAATTTAAATAAAACATTTGCCATCTGGTTGACTTCAGTTCATGGAGACCCGTGTGTTTCAGAGTAGAACTGCAGGCCATAGGACTATAAATGACTGTGAACTGTTGGAAATATAACCAGGCCTTCTTCCAAGGCACCTATGAATGGATTCAAACTGCCAAACTCCAGATTAGTAGCCAAGCACTTAACCATTTGTGTCACCCAGGGACTCCATATGACAAATAGCTGTACTGTACCATGAGGAGTCCTGGTGTAGCATTGTAGATAAGCACTGGATTGCTAAGCACAAGGTAGACAGTTCAAACTCACCAGATGATCCTAGGAAACCCTAGTCAAGGTTGCTATGAGTTAGAACGGACTCGATGGCACTTAAAAACAACAACATATTATGAGCTAAGTTGATTTGGGCTGTGGTCTGGTTGCATATCTTCCTTTGCTCTGCTCACTCAGTATTGCTAGTATATCTGTGAACCACACATATTTTCTATATTCATAATCCAGAGTTTATTTCTATAGCTTGAAACTAAGATTCTTGAGTGTCATATCAAGAAAAAACTTGTTGCCATCATATTGGACTTATTGTTGTTGTTGTTGTCAGGTGCCATCGAGTCAGAACCAACTCATAGCGACCCCATGCACAGCAGAATGAAACAATGTCCGATCCTAGGCCAATCTCACTACCGCCGCCACACTTGATGTCAACAATGATGCCACCTGGCCAATCCATCTCGTTGGAGGTCTTCCTCTTTTTCTCTGACCCTCCACCTTACCCAGCATGATATCCTTCTCCAGCATCTGTTCTCTCTGGACAATGTGTCCAAAGTATGAGAGATGAAGCTTAGCCATCTTGGCCTCCAAGGAGCACTCTGGTTGCACTTCTTCCAAAACAGATCTATTGGTTTTTTTGGCAGTCCATGGCACTTTTAGTATTCTCCTCCAGCGCCACAACTCAAAGGCATCAATTCTTCTATGATCTTCCTTATTCACTGAACCGTATATGACTGAGTAGACCTGCCCCATAGGATTTCCAAGGCTGTGATGATTACAGAAGCAGACAAACACATCTTTTTATCATACAGTGGAGCGGCTGGTGGATTTGAACTACTGACCTCTAGAGTATCAATAAAGCCCTTAACCACTGCACCACCAATGCTTCTGTTGAATCAATCAGTCTCCAGATTTCCATTTCAATGTTGACATTTATTCAAGAGGTACAGAAAGTCAAATCCATTCCTTTCTACTAGAGACTCACAGTGTCTGATGTCATAGTCCCTAGTGGAGGTATTTAACTCAAATGTTTAAATCTTCCTTCTCAAACAAAAGTATCCCCGGGGACTCAGTAGTTAAGTGCTTGGCTGCTAAACAAGAGAGCCAAGGTTTTGAACACAGCAGCCTCTCCCAGGGAGGAAGATGTGGCAGTCTGCTTCGCTACACACTCCACCCTGGGAAACCCTACACAACAGTTCTACTGCATCATATATGGTCGCTAGGAATCCAAATCAACTTTAGGACAATGGGACTATAATAAATTTTCCCTGCTAGACCTTCAAGAGGAAACAGAGAAGGAACTCTAAATATTTACCATTTCACCATAAAACCTACACTGCAAACCATTCACTTCCTATGAAGAGAAATGATCAGCTAAATTGCAAATACAAGGGGGCTTCAAAAATAAGTGGAAACATGGAATGAAAAGATTCCGTGAAGTTTTTCCATGAGCTCTTTGAGCTCCCTCAAAGGAAATCACAAGTAGGTACAACACCTAAAGATAGATAAACAAACAAAGCCATGCTGTATGTCTATTCCCCATTTACATCATCTGAAGCAGAATGTGACAATCACTGTGTTTGTGAAACTCTTCAGTGATATTATCCCCAGGGACTCAGAAGGAGCTACAGGTCCCATGTGAATCCAGCAACATGAGTCTAGTAATGCTGGTGCCTTGGAGTGGGGAAAGTTGGAGAGGAGGGACCCAGTTCTGAAAAATATGCAAGAGCAGAGCCATCCCTCAGTCCCCGCCTGCTACCCTTTTGTGTGCAGGGAAAGCTGCTGGATATTAGTTCTGCGGTGTGTCTCAACTCCACTAACTTCCTGAGATTTCACTGTAGTTCAAAGGTAAGTCTTTTCATATTTAGCTCTGCTCTAAACCACATAGAAGGTGCTCCAGGGACACAGAATCATTTAGCAAGATGAAATATTGTCACTCAAAAACACAGTTCTACTTTTGAGTCAAGCCCAGACCAGCATAGGACTTAATTATTTCAGGACCCTCTAGGCTAATCTTTGTCTTGCCCTGAGGTTTTTGTTTTTTTCAACTTGTTCTAGTTTTCCTGTAGCATCTCCCTTCTGCCTTTTCCCCGTCTCTGATTTAAAATCAAGCTTCTCAGGGTTAAAGAGACTTCTGAGCTCCTCTTCCAGCAGCCTTCTCCAGAATCCAGAGGTGAGGGTTCACAGAAAAAGCAATCTGGAGACTTGGCTATCTATACATTTGGAGAGGCAAATGATTTGGGAGAAAGGCAGAGATAGTAAAAATGAGATAAAGTAAAATATCAGGATCAACACCTGTAGGCTTCATGCCAATGTTCTTTCCAACAAGTCACAAGAAAATGAATCCTCCCTCCAGTTACCATTCCCTCTCTCTGCCTTGGTAAGTTCCTATAGCTTTCAGGTCACCTTTAGGGGTAAAACTAAGGCACACTTTCAATATTGAAAAGCCCAGCTTAGACCAACTTAAAACTTCAATATTATACCCAATTCAAAATCTGTGTCTTCCTTCTTCAGTTCAGGTCTGACATATGACTTTGGGATCTGCCGGGGGGAAAGGAAAGATAACTGATCTTCCTTTATTCTTTAGCTTCCTCTCACATTCCTTCCATTTTATGAGGCCAGGGAGGGAGTGTAGGGAGTAGAAAATGGGCAAAATCTTGAGGTCTTGTGCCATATAATACTAGAAAGTAGTGACCTGTATGTGAGAAGCAGTGAAACATGTTGACTTTCCAGTGACATCACTTTTGGGTTCTCTCCAGCCCCCTATCAATGACTATTCCATTATACACTTCCTGGAAAAGGACAATAAATTTTCTCCTTGATTTCTCTCTGATCTCTCTTTCATAAGCAAGTCACTCCAATAGTCTCTCAGTACTAACAACATGTTCCCAACAGGATGTCTTCCTAGTTGCAGTCCATCAAGATGGCTTGAACTCAACAACTTCCTGCAACACTCATTAAGCCTCTAGGAAACATACATCTTCATGCAGTGCCATAGATGTAAATGTAGGCATGCCCTACTATCCTCCAATCTTTCCTTTCCCCTTGCCATAGTGGCTGTAAACAACACTTAACAACAACAACAAATTTTCTCAACTCATAATCTAGCCACAAATGAAGTAAAATTTGGGTCTCCACATCTTCTATTCAGTATCCAAGAGCAGTTCTTCTACAGAAGTAAGAAGGAGCTCCTATTATGAATTTTATATACATATTCCCATAAGGATACCTAAAGCTCAGTTATTTATATCTCCACAAAGTCTTCATATTAATGATCCTTCATGTTTCAATCCTGTTAGTTTGAAGGATGAACATGAATTATGGGGAAGATCTTGGAACCATGTTCATATCTTTCCTTCCTAAGGCATTCCTTTGTATCCACACTGCTGAAAATAATTCTTATTAAGTAGACTTTCTACAGCTTTGAATTCTCTGGGTAGAAGAAATGGTTCATAGCTCAACTACTAACCAAAAAAAAATGGTAGTTTTAGTCTACCTATAGGCATCCTGGAATAGAGGACTCACAATCTACTTCCAAAAGATTCAGTCATTGAAAACCCAATGGAGCACAGGTCTACTCTGAAACACATGAGGTCATCATGAGTCAGGATTGACTCAACAGAAACCAATTTGGGTTTTCTGTTGTTGTTTTCTCCACTCTGTACTGTCCTAGAGGAGCCTAGAGGGAAAACTTTCCCATGCAATGACTGCACCTGAGTGCCATTTTAATGGATTTTCATGTGGAGATGTAGGAATCTTCTGTTCTTTTCTCAGATCACCAGAAATATGCACCAAGAAAACCAAACTACCATATCTGAATTCATCCTCCTGGGATTCTCCAATCAGGTTGAACAGCAGAAGATCGTATTTGTGCTTTTTCTGAGTATGTACCTGGTCACAATGGTTGGCAATGGCCTCATCATTCTGGCCATTGGCTTGGATTCTCACCTGCACACACCTATGTATCTCTTCCTTGCCAATTTGTCCTTGGCTGATATGTCCTCTACTTCCACCTCAGTCCCCAAAATGCTGATAAATATTCAGACCAAGAGTCAAGCCATCTCCTATGACAACTGCATCACCCAGATGTACTTTTTCATTGTGTTTGTTACCACTGGAAACTTCCTCTTGGGGGTTATGGCTTATGACCGCTTTGTGGCTATCTGCCACCCTCTGAACTATATGACCATCATGCAACCCAGGCTCTGTGCTTTGCTGACAGGCATCCCATGGGTCCTCGGTAATGTTGTTGCCATGACTCACACCTCTTTGCTCATTCAGTTGGTCTTCTGTGACAAAAACATTATCCCACACTTCTTCTGTGACCTGGCCCCTCTGCTCAAACTGTCCTGCTCAGATACAATGGTCAATGAGCTTGTGTTGTTTGTCCTGGGCTTGTCTGTCATCACCTTTCCCTTTATCCTGATCCTCTTCTCCTACATCCGCATCGTTAGCACTGTCCTGAGAATCTCATCCACAGAGAGAAAATGGAAAGCCTTCTCCACCTGTGGCTCTCACCTGACGGTTGTATTACTTTTCTATGGGACCATTGTAGGGGTTTACTTCATCCCCTCATCTGCTCAACCTGATGACAGGGATAAGATTGGTGCAGTCCTGTTTACTGTGGTGACCCCCATGCTGAACCCCTTCATCTATAGCCTGAGGAATAAGGACATGAAGAGTGCCCTGAGAAAGATCCTTAATAGAAAAAGGTTTCTCCCTTTAATGCCTTGGACTTCTAAATCCCCTTCATCCCTGTAACCAAATGAATGATTCTGTCCAAAGTTTGTGACATAGTTGTGCTGGCTCAACTATTGATGAATTTTCACCTCTGTGCCTCCTATTACAACCTCTGAAGGATTGTGACTGTTCCACACAGTTGTAATCTTAGAAGCAAATAAACAACCTTCATGGTAAGTCACAATAATAACACAAATTCAATTATAATCTATGTAACTGCAAATATAGGTAAAAATACTTTATAACTTAGAAAATAACAAATGTATATTGTATTACTACATCTCGCTTTTGTAATTTTGAAAGCAGTTATTAGTAATGCCTTTCTTCAATTTAGATTTCCCTGGTTCTGCTTCTCTAAAGATTTAATTGCAAATATACTATTCAGTGAGCTATTTGATAGTTGTGGAACTGAAGGGTCCCATGTTCAAGTAATTTGTGGCAACTATGAATTAAATGAAGCAAATTGTCTTAGCTTTGCAACTTGCCAGCGCCTTTAACATACTATAAATCTCCAGGAGGGTAATATGTAAATCAACATTTCTCAAACCTAAATTTAATCAATCATACAGAAACTGATTCATCACAAAGCAGGACATGTGCACAATACATTTTGGGAACAGTGATTTCAAGTTATTTCCATAGGAAACCACAGGCCTTGAGCATTGGAAACGCAGTTTAAGTACTGAGTATGCATGAGCATTCACTATGTCAGCGCATCTCTTTGAGCCTGTTTGCTCTAATATAAAGTGAAATCACTGGTCTAAGTCCATTTTTCTTTTTCTCCAGATGAGAATGTTCATCAGAATATATGAGAAATTTGTTTTTCAAAATCCACATACTCATACACTGACATTCTTCTCTGCTGCACAAGCCACAGTGGTCTTTGGTTCAGACGGGCAAATTTAATAAGATAAAACTAGCACCAAGTTTACTTAGATTCAAGGAAGGATAAAGGAACCTGATGATAAAGAGCTTAAGCACTCAGCTGCTAACCAAAGGGTTGGTGATTCAAACCCACCAGCCCTTCTGCAGGACAAAGATGTTTCCATAACGATAGCACTCTTGGACACCCTATGGTACATGTCCACTGTCCTATAGTGTCACTAGGAGTCCAAATCAACTTTGTGGCAACAGGATAAGAAAGGCCACATGACAGCCACACAACCTGCACAGTGACACTATGCAGTAGGCCTTAGGACTCTCAGGCACACTTTCTATTAGCCCAGTGATGTCACACTTGGAATATGCATGGTTGTGAGTCAATTCACTGAGTGAGTGTAGGTCACTTCAATTCAGGGAAGCTGTCAGTTCTGGGGTGCCTCAAGAACTGTGCCTCGCCAATCACATAGCCCCCTCAGGGGTGTGTGACTGGTACAGCTGCAACTCAGCTAGTATAGGTTACTTCTCAATGATATTTGTTGTTGTTGCTAAATGCCATTGAGTCAGTTCCAACCCATAGCAACCTTGTATAGAGTTTCCAATGAGCGGCTGGTGAGCTTGAACTGCCAACCTTGTGGTTCAAACCAACTTTGCAGTCCAGCACATTAACACATAGTACTACACCAGGACTTCATAAATTTTAATAGATACTGTTGCTCAAGTCAGGGTTAAGCCATTGCTGCAGAATTGTCTACGTTTTGGACTCCCTGGGTGGTACTTGACGACTAACAACAAATCTGGCAATCAAACCCACCCAAAGGTGTCTATCTACAATCATTGAAAATCCCATGGAGACGTTCTACTCTGCAAAACATGGAGTTGCTATGAGAATAGAATTTATGGCAAGTGATTTCGGTTTGGGGTTTGTTTGGGGTTTTGGTCTGTTTGCCAGGGAGTCTATTCCAACTCATAGCGACCCTGTAAGACAGGGTAGAACTGTCCCATAGGATTTCTAAGGCTGTAATCTTTACAGAAACAGAATGTCCTATCTTTCTCCTTTAGAGCAACTGGTGGGTTTGGACTGCTGACCTTTCAATTAGCAGCCGAATACTTAATCACTGTGCGACCAGGGCTTCTTGCACATGTATGGTGGTAGTGGTTGTGTTCTGTGGAGTTGGTTCCGACTCATAGCAACCCTGTACAGGGTTTCCAAAGCTGTAAATCTTTATGGGAGCAGAAAGCCTCATCTTTCCCCCATGGAACTGCTGGTAGTTTTGAACTGCTGACCTTGCAGTTTGCAGCCCAATTCAGAACCACCACGCTATAACGCTATATCTCCTTGAATTAGTTACTAGGGGGATTTGGCCAAAGGTCATGTCTTTATGCTTCCCTGAATAAAGGCTACAGGCCAGTGTCTATCCCTTTCTTTCTAACCCCTCCCTGGATCTATTGGCCCAGACACTCCAAGAAAGTAGCCAAGCATTCCTGTGTTTTGAAATCACTCCTCAGATGACCTTGATGTGATAAAGAGCTAGATGAACTCTGAATTCACTGAGCTATATGAATTCTGAATTCCATCCAGGGCTGGATTCTGTCAATCTAGATGTCTCTGGATGATGATGGAGATGTCTTTCAGAGTCTTCCTCAAAAATGCTTTGTGGCTACGCAGAACGTGTTCTTTTGATGTACTGAAATCCTCTTGGTAATTATTTCCCCACTTGAAAGATGACGGTTACTAATTATTCTTTTTGATTTCTCTAGAAGTTGCACTGTTGTTGTGGTTGCTAACTGCTATTGAGTCAGTTCCAACTCATAACGACCCTGTATAGGGTTTCCAAAGACTGGTTGGTGAGTTTGAATCACAGACCTTGTGGTTAGCAGTTCAGTGCTTACCCTACAGCTCTATAACAGGACTGTTGTATACTGAAAAATCCTAGTGCTAAATTCTCTGGCATAGCAGTAAGTTATGATCTCCTTGTGTGAGATAAAAGAAATTTTTAAGTATCTAAACTCAATAGTCCTCATATGTAAAATGGGAATATTAATACCACAGTCACAAACTTGTTTGGCAAGTTGGAATATGTTTTAAACAACACATACAACTCTAGTATATAGCAAACAATTGGGAAAAATGTGTTTTTATTTTATTTTCCTTTTTCTTTATTTTGAAACAATTTCCCTCACTTCTAACTCATTTACCTAGTTTCATTTGTCAGCAAAATAAGTTATTTCCAATTTTCTCTAAATTTAAAACCATCCATTAATATATATTCATTTAAAAAAAAAGCTTTGCTGTGAATTGAGTGGTACTTTACATGGGAGAACATAGATTTTGCACTCAACCAATCGTATTTTGTTTCATTGCAGTGACTACAATTCCCTTCATTCATCATCGGTTAACAATATTTGCTTCTATTCCCTCTGGGTTTTGTTGTTGTTGTTGTTGTTGTTGAAGTACACAAAAACACTCAGGAATATATAATCATTTAAACAACCAAAGGGCACATTCTGCAAGAAAGCCAGTCTCCTGGTCACCAGCATGTAGCCTTTCTCTTTCCCCTGAGCCTGGAGTCCTCATCTACTCAATCTTTCTCCATGTCCTCATCTCTGCCTCCGTCTCTGGTGTCCCTGCTTCTCTGGATAGAGATCCACGTTCCAATCATGCTCTTCTCTCTTGGTGGTCCTAGGGTCCTCTGTTCCTGGAATACAAGATGAACTATTACCCTCTTTTTGTTACACAACTTCCACTTTTACAGTTGTGACTATCATAATTAGTCATGATAACAATTACTCACTATTGAACGAAATGAATCCTATCCCATCTCCTTTCACCAGACATGTCTAGACAAGACGAAAACTATTCAGTGGAGATTTTACTTTCCTCCACACACTCTGAAACATAACTCCTTCTTGAAAACTTGTAAAACAGCCACTTCATGCCTTTATAGCTCCCCCCACTGTCCATTATAGGTAGCCAGTGTCTGAATTGCCCAGGCCTATCAACCCTGTGTACAGAGGGGATAGGTTTGATCCTTGTCCATCAATTTTTAGAGGAAATAAACCATCAGCTGCCTTTTTTTGTGTATCATTAAATTTTATACTTCATCTGAGTTTTTTTTTTAATTAATCTAAAATTCATCTGCTTTTATGTGGGCTGCCAAACTAGCTTCTTTACAGTCCTCCCTGCTTCAAGTGTCTCGACAGCCATTGTATCCCACCCACGGCTCCAACATACAGTGTTCCAGAACTCTGCTTTCATTATTTCATGTGGAGAAGTAGAAAGAGTCCTTGATTTATAATCAAGAGACTTAGGATCTCGCCCAATCCATAGCTAGCTCACTGTGTGACAAGTCATGTTACTAATCTCAGTTTAATTTTCTAAAACTACTGATCTAATAAGAATAAAACAGATTTTAGAATAGCATGTATCGTATGTGTTTATGTTAAACAGAATATGTTGAAAGAGCTAGCTGGCATAGGTCAATATGATGAACATGGGTTGGGGCAGTTATTTTCTTACCACTTCCCCCATCAAGAGGTTAAGTCTATGCCTCTCTCCTTGAACCTGGCGGGCTTTGGGGATGGGGATGCTACATGTTTTCAATATTCTGTTAGAAAGGCCATCGAAGTTTGCACCTTGCTCTTTCTCTGTTGGGACATGTACTTTTGGAGCTCTGAATGACCATGTAAGAACTCCCACAACCTTCAAGACACCATGCTGAAGAAAAGACGCTGACAAGACCATATACAGGAACACAGAAAAGCCCCACTGTTCCAGCCCACAAATCTTTGAATCTCCTCTGTGCAGGCACACATCCTGTGGGTGAATCTGAAGATGATTCCAGCTGTAGTTCTGACAGCAAGCGTATGAACCTCTGAGTGGAAACTGCCTAGCTGAGCCCACTCAACCCCTAGCGCTGTGAAAAACAACAAGATGGTTCTCATTGTTTGACAACCTTATGTTTTAGGATGATATGTTATGTGACAATACATAATCAGAGCAGTGATTTTGTCTAGGTCATGGGATACAGTGATTTATATTTCATTCTATATTGCTTGAATACTTTACAGTGAGTGTCTGTCATTTTAGGGAAATGATAGAGGAAACTTTTTTTTTTTTTAATGTTAAGAAAAATTAAAAC